ACCAGCTTAATCCCAATCAATAATCTGGGAGTAGTGTATCGCATCTCATGCCTAACCTGTTCCTGTAATTACACGTGCCAAAGTAAACGCATGCTCGGATCGCGCATAAATGAACATCAACTGGCTGTAAGACAGGGCGACAAATTATCACAAGTTGCTGCCCACACGTACGATACGGGACCATGAGTTCAACTTCGCAGACATCAAGATACTTGGTCACACCAGAAAAAAAGACGAGCCCATAAGTGATTGAGGTCGCGTCCACGGATGAGAACTCAATCAATCGATGTACTGACTTAACGCCGGCATACAGAGCCTTGCGCAGTCGCCTCCAGACATGCGTCACTGATAATTGATTGGTTTACACCCCCTATAATTTTGCCATTTTTTGTTGTTGCTGTTATCTCTGACAATGAACTCCTGTCCGAGTTTGAAAGCGCAAGGCAATAAACAAATGTTTTTAGTGCTCGACAAGCTTTCTCCTTTATTCGCGACTTTCTAATAAACAAAGCATACTTAAAGCCGACTTATGGGGAAATCACACAACGGAGAAAACTTACTTTCGGTTGGTTTTGAAGACTTGTAAACGGACCCAGACTCCGAGCTGGACGACACGATTGCCGCAACGGCGGTCGCATTTGCAGTTCTTGTTGCACTCATAGATTCCGCCCATTGTGAATTGTGAGAGACGACGATGTCGGTAACCAATGGAGAAGTCCACCAATCCCCTCGCGCTAGTGAAGGAGCTTGCCTCAACTGACAAAGGGAAAATGTGCAAAACATGTCACGCTTCGACGGAATGGAGATTTAAAAAGAAAATAACTGCTTGGAGTTAAGGCCAACTGACGCAGAGGTTTAAATCCCAGGTACTTCCCACCTTATTTTTAGGCATTCTGGTGCTTCCAGAGAACCCACTTACCTTTGTTTCGTAGCTACCTTTATGTTGTACCTAGAAATGAAGCAGAGCGGCGATCGTGCGTCCTGACATTCTGCCACACCACTAAACGCCGCTTCTGGTAGACCACTTGAATAAATCCTGATCAAAGCTAAGAGCAGCGGCACAGTGGTTAAGATTAAACCTGTAACTGATTATTCAACCAAAGTTATCGACTAAGGCTGCCTGAGAAGCGCCTTTTGAATGAAACAGTCCAATAGAAGCGAATATACGAGTCCCAGGAAGTAATTGAGAAGAAGGCAACTCGATCGCTGGGACCCGTTTCCACTACCTTTTTATGATCATGTCTCTGATGATGAATCCGCGACGGATGTCGAAACGTCAGGCGAATAAAAGTATTGTTCCAGCGATCGACTTCTTCTTCTCGAAACAGTCCAATTTTACCTCACTGGCGCTCACTGCAAGGACATCTCAAAGCATCCAAGAAATACATGTGAGAACATAGTTAGAAACCCGCCATGTTTGAGTACAACAGTGTCTTCCCGAAGCCTAGCACAGCGCCGTCTGTCAGAAGACAGCAGGGGCTGTTGGACCTTTGTTAGACGACTATAATCGCTGCAGAACACACCGAACTGAGCTCTCATCGTTAATCGTCGGGCGCATAAAAGGTACCCTTCACGCACCGTTGAAGTCGACTACACCAGGCAGGATTGACGTCATAGGTATAGTTAAGTACGAGAACCTTGAAATATCTCCCCACCACACGAAAAACCTGCTGGTAGCTAGCTAGTACAGGATGAACTCATTACTGTTTGTACGATCGTGAACGACAACGATATGCCGTTCTTAACTGCACGAATGATACTACTATTGGTTATGACATCCACGTATCTTCGCCAGAGAGCCGCTGTTGAAAAAAAACGAAGTTACCATTTACCGGTTCTTTTGGGCGGCTGTCCACCTCCGATTGCGGTCTCAGAGCAACAGATCCCAAGAGTCACTCGCTTTACCTTGGCTCAACTATGCAGTGGCTACTCAATGCTCCTTCGCCAGTACCAACACCGGCTCGACCGTCCACACCCGACAACTGTCCCTACTATGGCGCTTCTCCGCATGACTGCCAGCATCTTTTCGCCTGCAGTTCCCGGCCAGGCACTCAACTCACCCCGCGGACCTTTGGCTCAAGCCGGTCGAGGTCTTGGCTTCCCTCCGTCTTTCAAATACAAACAGTCCGGACTCCGGCGGGAACTCCTGGGCCAACAAAGGCTACGACGCACACACACACATACACACGTA